ATCAAATGTTCTTGACCAATGGATACAATCAGCGACTGGAAGTCTTGTTCATTTTGTCCGCCAAGAAATGGATGGATATCGACTTTACACGGTTGCTATCTATGAACTATCACTTTTCTGTAGCTCCCTTAAAAATATATGCAAACTAGAAGGCTTATTATAAAGAGGGCCACATTAATAGATTTTAAACCATAAAACCATTTTTTTTCTTCAGAAAGTTGGAGCTCTTTTAACACATCTATTTATCTCTGAATTCTTGAGCTGACATTTAATTGCTGTTATCATGTTATCTTAAACATATAATGGACTTACCTAATGTCTATTTTTACCTCTTTTAGGTGGTCCCTTATCTTCTTAAGTTTCTTGACAACCTTACAAATATATATGTAAGATTCAATCGTAAGAGACTAAAAGGACGTACAGGAGAGGAAGATTGCCGCACAGCTCTCTCTACTCTTTACGATGTATGAACTTCTATCTCATACCATCTTTGTAGAAACTCAATTCATATGATGTTCCAACTGCTGTATTGTCAACAGCCATTTGCTAATGGATATTATTGATTTCAGGTGCTACTAACTTCATGCAAGGTTATGGCTCCTTTTACACCATTCTTCACTGAGGTTCTTTATCAAAACATGCGAAAAGTTCATGATGGATCTGAGGAAAGTATTCACTACTGTAGTATTCCTCAAGAAGAAGGAAAGGTATTCTTTAGTAATTGGGTCCTAATGTTTTCTCGTGTAAATTCATGTTGCTTGTTCATTGAATGCTAAACAAAAGTTACATGAGCTATTTGCTCTAAAACTTCACAATTGGCAAGGTTTCTACCAAATATGGGTATGTTTGTTTAATTGCCATCTGTTCACTGCCTATGGTGTTTAATGACTTAATAGATAGCGTGCAAATCTTCCCTTGAACTATGCCAGTTGGATTAGATCCTCCCCTCAACAACAAGCAGGTGCAATAGCATATCTTCCCAAAGTGGACAGATTCTGTTTGTAAATTTGGCCTATAAATAATGGAGCAAACAGAATTTGTCTATTTTTTGTGGAGTACTGGATTTGCTGCTGGTTAATAGTCTAGAGGTGGATCTGCTTCAACTGGCATAGTTCATGGGTGGGTTCCCACGTTTTGCAGATTTAGAAATAGAGTATGTGATAAACTTCCATTGAATTTCTATTATTTTCTTGGCTAGAACAATTTTCAGAATTATAACTTTCTGGCCAGTTTCCTACCCTATGTTATCTTAGCTATTTAGTTGTATCATATGTGAGCTCTTGCAGCTTGGAACTTTACATTAAACTTCCTTTTATATCTTTTGCGCTGCTTCATTTTATCAATTTCATCATCATCTCAGAGGGGAGAGCGGATTGAAGAAAGTGTTGTGAGGATGATGACAATTATCGATCTTGGGCGCAATATTCGAGAGCGGCACAACAAACCTCTCAAAATGCCTCTCAAGTCCTATAGCTTTTCTATTGCTTCATATTTCTCTTAGTTGTATGCTTCTGCTCCTTTAACTCTATTCTTCTTGTTTGTAATTGTAGGGAGATGGTAATTGTTCATCCAGATGCAAACTTTCTTGAGGATATAGCTGGGAAGCTGCAAGAGGTATGTGAGATACGTAGCAACCCACTGATTGGTCTTTTTCTTTTTAGCTTAATGTTATTCATTATGCTGGTGTCCCACCTCCTTCCCTGCTTATGTCCAGTAGTTATGACTCATATTCAGCGTCCTATAGTTTTACCAGAGACACTGGAGGCCACATATCACCCATCTCCATGTTTAAAAAGTTTCAAGTACAGTTTTTTTTTTTTAATTATTATTTTAAAGGAGAAGAATTACAAGTTGGCAATGTTTGAGCTATGTGTAGCCTATTTTTTTTATGTTTTTAAATTTGGAAATCTAGGTATAATATTGAATCCTTGTTGCTTTATGTCATTTAGAAATTGAACTTGGCATTGTAGCATCTAATAACCAAGCGCAGAAATCAAAGTGGCTGGAAGTTTCCCTTGGAGTTCAAGTCAAGGATCCCAGCCTCCTATGGGCTGGTAGCAGTCAATTCAATTTGATTGATACAAAGATTTGGGCATTGTATCATTAATAGAATTTTATTTTGTAATCTTAAAAATGGCTGAAAGTCAATTGTCTTGCCCTTTCATTCAACTACTACCACATTGGGGTCTGTAGTTTGCCAGAATCTCTTAAAGCTAAATCAAGCAATTTGTGGAGTTTGCTCCTTTTTACCTTCCTTTCCATTTTCTTTGTTTCTTTGTTAAAAAATATTATTGTGTTACTGTAGTATGTGCTGGAGGAACTCAATGTAAGAGCCCTTGTTGCATGCAATGATACTTTGAAGTATTCTTCATTACGTGCTGAACCTGATTTCAGGTATGGAATTTTAATTACAAGCCAAAGGCAATTGTTTCCTGTAGCACAAAATGCTCCTTTGCTTTTAGCCTTTTTCATCACACACACACACACACACACACTGATTGTGGTTGTTGGGAAGATAACATGAGTTTAACGTTAGCCATGTCATCCTATTATTTTGTTTCTAGCATCTTGGGCAAGCGTCTAGGAAAATCTATGGATATTGTTGCCAAGGAGGTAAAGACAATGTCTCAGGATGATATCTTAGCTTTTGAAAAAGCTGGAGAAGTAATAATTGCTGGCCACTGTCTGAAACTGACTGATATTAAGGTATGCCATGTTGATGGTTAGAACTGTTAGACAGTACGTTTTTTTAATTTCATCTAGTGTATTTTTCAAAGTTATTTTGAAAATAAAAGTACAATTATTTTATGTTGTTGAATAGGAACTAGTGATCGGTTCCTCAAATTTTAACAAAAATAAGTGAAATGTAGTTGCATGAAGAAACTTCTCTTTGTTTTGTGTACCAATTTTACACTGAAAGCCTGAAAAAAGAGATTAAAATACTCTCTCTGAAATCTTGAAAAGGTTGCTTCACTGATTTTATGGTGGCTATATATAATTGCTAGATAAGGATATAGATTAATAAGGATATGCTGAGTATATATTCTCTTGTTTCAACATTTGTAGGTGGTTCGAGATTTTAAACGTCCAGATGGCATGACAGATAAAGAGATTGATGCTGCTGGAGATGGTACATTCTTCTGATAAGTGATTTGTGTACATTGAAAGGGAAAAAATTCCTTCATCCCCAAAAATTAAGAATGGATAATATGTTTTACATGTTTATTTTTTTAACTTATGCACCCTTTATTCATGTCTTAGGTGATGTTCTAGTAGTTTTGGATTTGCGTCCTGATGAGTCATTGTTTGAAGCTGGTGTAGCGCGTGAGGTAAATAAATACTGGTTCCAAATACACTTGGTTCAATTCTAATTTTTTTTTTTAAAGACATGTAATGTTTGATAATTTAAGTGCTTTTAGGTTATTTCATTCTTCATTTTTGATAGTCACTTTTTTTGCTGTTATATTTCTGTAAATTTCCAGTAAATTAAAAGTGCTTCTGATACAACCTGTGGACCTAATTTCTGTAGGTTGTTAATAGAATCCAGAAATTGCGGAAGAAAGTTGGCCTTGAACCAACAGATTTGGTGGAGGTTTACTTTGAGTCCTTGGATGAAGATAAAGCAGCCATTGAACAAGTTTTGAGCTCACAAGTAAACTGGCTTTATTATGTCAGCTGATTAATTATAGCATATTTTTTTCCTGTTCTTGCTTTGTACTATTTGTTGAATTAGAATCTGACATGGTTTCTATATACAAAGCAGTTAATTTTTGTATTTGATGTACAGGAAAACTACATTAAGGATGCAATTGGATCTCCATTGCTTTCCTGTAGTGTCATGCCACCACATGCGGTAAATTTATATCTAACCTGAGTTTGAAATTTCTTAAATTGTTAGTTTGCTATGTAGAGGACGAAAATGTGATAGAGAATTGAGAAAAATTCTAAGATGGCCTTCAATTCTATTGCTCCATTCCTTCAACTTCTTTCATTTTCTTAGTTAAATCAAGGGTAATTGTAGTATCGGATAAAATTCTGACTTGTTTTTGTGGTCTTACACTGTGAGTTATCAGTTTTGTCCCTTGCATGTTTGAAATACAGCATCGTGGTAAAATAAAAATGAAATATGATGTGCAAATAGATGAAATTTTATTGTCTTCTATTTTTATTTTATCTCATTCAACTCCAGTAGTCTAACTCCATTTTATCCTTGTCCATGAAATGCAGGTTGTTATTGATGAAGAGAGCTTTCATGGCATCTCTAATTTTAATTTGAAAATAAGTTTGACACGACCAGCATTGTACTTCAACTCGAAAGCTATTCTTGCGCTATACGCAGGTGAGGACTACCCTCTGTCTATCAAGTTACCCACCAGCCATTCTTGCACTATAATATAGAAGATTTCTTCCCTTCCTTGTCTCAGCCTTTTTCCCCATACTAAGTTATTGAATGATGCAGGCAACACAAAATTTGCACAAGGCCTGCAAACTTACCTCCTTTCGAGGGACCATTCTGTTCTGAAAGCTGAGTTGCAACACAGACATGGCAAGGTTTGCTTTGCTTTGCTTATCAACTGTTACATGATTCAGCAACCCTCTGACACCACCTTTGAGTGTAATCTTCATCTCATGGATCGTTCTCTTCTTTCCATTCTATTTGCAGATTAAGATTGATTGCATTGAAAATCAACCTCCTGTGGAGGTGACACTGGGAAAACACGTATTCTTGACCATGGGTGACTATCATTTGACGGAAAGAACTGATCAGTAAGGGAAAATATCAAGTGATGGACATACTTATCAATTTAAATATGTATATGTTTTTGGTAATGACAAATTATGGATGACCATAGAGTGAAGAAAACTCCTATTTTTTGAGGAAGAAAAGTAACACAAAATTTTATCATACTTGTTAGCAACTTCGTCGTAACATTCTCTCTCTTTCTCCATTTTTTTTTCTTTTTAACCTGTTTCTGGATTCTGGATTCATATGAGAGATAATCACTGATTGCTGATTATTTCTGAAAAATATATTTTCATCTATTTATCGGAGAAAATTGTGAGAACTTAGCTTATACAATGACTACCAATCTTTCAATTTAGTCAAGGACTTAGAGATACATAATTCAAGTTTATGATGAAGAATGGAATGCTACAAATACAAACAGCATTCTATTGTACGGTAATTCCACACAACAATGGTTCCTAAAATGTGCTAGAATAAAGTCACAAAAACATTTCTGGACTTTGAACTCTCAGCTTGAACTGGAAAGAGCTTCTGCACAAGTCTCTTCCTCCAAATTATTTTCTTTATCTTCAGAAAAGCTTGGAGGTTTTGGAATCAATCCAAGGATTTTGAACATTTGTTGGTCCGCATCAAAATCATTGTTGGGAGTCGTCAACAGCTTCTCACCAGTGAAGATTGAATTTGCACCAGCAAGAAAGCACAAGGTTTGCTCAGGCATGGAGAAGCGAACTCTGCCAGCTGACAGCCTGACCATTGCTCTTGGCATGACTATACGTGCAGTGGCAATCATCCGAATCATCTCCCATATTTCAACCGGCTGTGAAGAGGTAACAAAAAGTTAGCTTGGTTAAGCTTTTAATCTACAAAACAATCTGGATTTAGTACTCACCTTCTGATCTTGAAGAGGTGTGCCTTTCACTGCAAGCAAGGCATTGATGGGAACACTCTCTGGATGAGTGGGGAGTGTTGCCAATGTATGCAGCAAACCAACTCGGTCCTCGTCTGCTTCTCCAAGTCCAATAATTCCCCCTATTGACAGAAAATAGATGGTCATTCTCTCCACAGATATGTTGAACAGATGAATGAAAATCAACAAGATTGAGATGGTGGAATACAGAAATTCCTTTAGTGCCTTAAAAATCCATCTCATCACCACCAAGCCCCCTTCAAACTCAAAAGAAAAACATTTTCTATCCTTTGAGCTTTTTCCTTTGCCAAAATTACTTTTAACCAAGGGCACCAGACAAATTCACTTTAGTCATGTAATGTTACCCGGTTTGATCAACTACCTGAACAGACATTAATTCCTGCTTCACGGACATACTGAAGGGTCTCCAAGCGCTCATCATATGACCTTGTGGTGATAATGCTTGGGTAATATTCTCTTGAGGTATCAAGGTTATGATTATAAGCTGTAAGACCTGCCTTTTTGAGTTCAAGAGCCTGTTGCTTTTCAAGCATTCCTAGGGTGCAACAAGCCTCCATCCCCATATCCCTGGTGTGCAAAAGACACTTCAAACACAGTTTAACATTTAATGGAAAACTGAAAGACAAATATCTGTAACTTAACAGCATATATTTTACTGAAGTGAGTTATATTCATTGATTTTGTAAACAAAACAAGAATGAAAGAAGAAAAGAGGATGTTCTTGAAAAGGACTCTATGTTATTGTTATCATGAATTAGATGTCATTAAGGATTAAACCCAGGTATAAGTACAGATTATTACCTAATTTCTTTTACATATTCAAGAATTTGGTTGAAGTTGGTCTTCCTCCCTACTGTGTCTCTCCAGGCAGCACCCATGCAAAAACGTGTACTACCAGCCTCTTTTGCCTGCCAAGCAAACAAATACCTCCAAATCATGCATATGAGGAGCAGCATATCAAATACAGGACAGAAGACACAAGTAAAAGTTCAGTGCACATGGCCTCCATTCACAGTAGCTTGTTAACCAACCCGCTGCGGATATAAGAATCATTCAAGCATGTGGTATTTGTCATAGCTACATTCCTACCTTACCACTAGTTTCAGTCAATCATTTTAGTGGAATCAAGTTCACATCTCTCAAATGCAATGCTAAGCATGAACAGATAAAGATGCTAACCCTTTTTGCTGCCTCCATTACAGCATCCTTGGTCATAAGCTTCTGCCCCTTGACTCCAGTATTATACCTTGAAGACTGCGGACAATATGAACAATCCTCACTACATCCACCAGTCTTGATGGAAAGGAGGGTGCACTGCTGCACTTCCCTGAAGTTATGAGCATGCCTGTGGACTTGAGCCTAAAATATCAAGAACCACCAGCCATGTCAACATCAAACAGAGGTAACAAGAACAGCAACAAAAGGGATGAATGCATTTTTCATAACAAATCAAAGAAATTCCTAACTTCACAATTTACAGAACCTACTTACTATGAAATTAAAATCCCCAAAACACGTCAAAGAGTAAATTTTTTATTTTTCCCACATTTTCAACCACATTTTCCCACCAAAACTCAGAGGCCATACTTACTCCGTGGAAGAGGAGATCAAGAACAGGAGAATCGTAGATGGATTTGATTTCTTCCCGCGTCCAATCATTTCTCGGACCTTCCCTAATACTCCTTTCAGCTTCGACAGCTGCAACTGAAAGAGTAGAGTAGAAACAAGACTGCGGTAGCAGAGCCGAAGCTATTAACCGGTTCCGACGAAGGACTGATCGAAGCGACAGCATTTTCCCTTGGTTTTCTTGATCTGAGTTCGCCGGAGAAACCAAAGCCAGCCTCTCTCTGGTGAAGACGGGAGTTAGATGAAATACCATGGTTAGGTACAACAAAATATGCTGGTTTTGAAATTACACATATACCCTTGAGAAAATATGCTGAAAAATATAAATAGGGGGTGGCTTCATTTTCAGGCGGAGAAGCGATGAGCGGGAGCAGTGTAAACTCGGTGTTTTACGCCGAGTCGTACCATCCGATTCAGGCTGGAAGCATCGACGGCACCGATATCCTTCCGCATGACAACGGCGTTTACAGGGCTCTCCTCTGCTCCAACGCCGGCCTCTGTAATGCATTCGATTTCTCACATCCGTCCTCTTTGTTTCTCACTATTCATCTTTTCTCACCCCATTTTTCCTTTTTGCAGATGACCCCCATGGTGACCCTAAGGTCGTCGGTGATCCTTATTGCACCGTCTTCGTTGGTCGACTCTCTCATTTAACCACCGAAGACACTCTTCAGAAGGTATTATTTTCATTCATAGCCTCCTTGAATTGAAAGCTAGCACTAATTCTTCAAAGCATTTACTTTGTGTATTTTTTCCTTTTTCCCTTTGTTGCACCTGTGTTTTTCAGGCTATGAGCAGGTATGGTCGGGTGAAGAACTTGCGCTTGGTTAGGCATATTGGTAATTTTCTTTTCTTTTCTTTTTTTCTTTTCTTTTTTTAAGTCGTTCTTTTAACATGACTGACAAAAAGCATGGAGCTTGAGTTGTGTTTGTTTCTTCAGATTCATAATTTGGTGTATATTTTTGTGCAAAGTTGTGAAATTGTTGCCTATGCTGGATAATTGTAGTGAGCTTTAACATTTGCTGATACAATTTAGTTAGTTCCAGTTGAATTATAATGTTGGGTTCTTGTTCTCATTACAGTAACTGGTGCTTCACGCGGTTATGCTTTTGTTGAATTTGAAACCGAGAGAGAAATGCGTCGGGCATATCAGGTATTGAGATCACCTTGCTGATATCTCTTGTTCTATTTTCTATGCCTGAGAATAAAGACCGTTCAGTGATCGGAATGGCTTGGAGAAAAGAAAGTCATAAAATTTGTCCATCTTGAGAAGGTTTGCTGAACTAGAATAAAGAGGATTGTCTTGGATGAAATGAATTTTGTGTAGGGTATCAAGCTAAAAGCTGGTTAACTATGGAAGAAATAATTTTCCAGAAAATTGGTTAGGTTGCTAACAATTGATTTTTTCAGTCATTCTGAGTTAGGAAACAATGTTGGTTTTCTAAGAATTAGGCTTTTGCATGACCATCGGATTAGAAATTCCTTTGTGGCATCTTAACAGCCAATTGTTTATTTAATGTTGCCACAGAAAGTAAAATGGTGATGTTTATCGAATTCCATGTTTCTGTATGCAGGATGCTCATCATTCAATCATTGACGATTGTGAAATTATAGTTGATTATAACAGGCAACAATTGATGCCAGGGTGGATTCCAAGAAGGTTAGGTTGGTAACTCACATTCTTGCTTTCTTTTGTTCTTACTGAGCATAAGGTGCAAGAAATAATCTCTATTCTTTTGAACAGGAGGGGGCCTTGGTGGTAAAAAGGAATCAGGACAACTTCGTTTTGGTGGACGAGAAAGACCATTTCGAGCTCCATTGTATGCACTGTCATTTTAATCTATCTATATATCCTATATGATGTTATGGATCTTGCAGTCTTTCAACCCTCAAAATAAATAAATAAATAAATTGCTTCTTTTATACGTTTATGTTTATTTATTGTCTATTTCTTGGTTTATTTAGAAAATGAGGTTACATTTTGTGTTTGTTATAGAAAGATTTGGATTGGTGGGTAAAAGAGAAAATTTTATTAGTTCTATTTATGTTGATACGTTGGATGTGTTTGCCTTTGGTTATATGATGGGAAATGCCCTTTTCTTTTAACTACTGTGCTGCTGATGCTGTTTATTCTCTTTGCAAAATTAGGCGACACATCCCGTTCGAAGATTTGAAAAGACTTGGAATCCCACCTCCACCTGAAGGGAAATATATGTCACGCTTTCAGGTATTATCCTTTTCATTTTAATAACTTTCTAAATGTCTAATGGTACAGCCACCGTTGCAATGCTATAACAGGCTTGGTAGACCTTCAAAACAACTAAATGAGTTCCTGCTCAAGTTATGATGCTATTTATTATTTTGCTGTTTGCATTTTTTGTTCATAAATTTGGTAGTGTCAAACTGTTAAGAAATTTCCATCAACCTGTAGCCCTGGAAGAATTTAAGACCTTCACTCTTGATATCAATTTGTTATTCCATCGGTGGTTCTAGGTTCCATCACCACCTAGAAGACAAAGCAGCTCTTCAGACAGGGAAAGATCTTCTCTCAAGAGGAGCTCCATGGATACAGAAGAATTCTCTCAAAGAAGTAGCTCTTTTAGGAAGGAAGATTTGAAAAGAAGGGTGGTAGGCCAGGAAGGGAAATTTGGCAGAAGGAGCTCAATGGAGAAAGAAGAGCACCATAACGAAAAGGGCTTCACAGATAAGTCTGAGCACTCTGACAAGAGGAATTTTTTTGAGACACAGGAGCACCATCATAGGCGGAGCTCAGCAGACAGGAAGGACTCTCACACAAGGAGCATTACAGATAAGGGAGAAAATTCTGGAAGAGGGAGCCCTACAGACAGGGAAGAGCATACTTATAAAAGGACTTTTAGACACAAGGAAGAACGCCCTGATAAGCACCACAGACGTCATAGTCGTTCCGATAGACAAAATGAGACAAGGTCCCCCTAATGAAGACCACTCCTCTGCTCACTGACTTGTTGCTACTGATTTGTCTTTGCAAATATAGCTTGCGTGTAGGAGGGAAATGCTCAAGGAGCATGTTGTAGAATTTAGATCATTTAGTTGCTTGATTCTTCAATTTCAATTCCAACTACAAATAAACAAGTCTTAATCTGTTTCATTTGTTTCATTGCCGCTTGATGATAATTTTCCACTAACCCAAGCTTGTCAAGAAAGCACAATCAGATTTGATTCCACTTTCTTGAAAGTCTTCTGTCTACTTTCATTTTTATTAATTAATCATTATTATTATTATTTTTTATACCGTTGGTATCTGGACATTTAACCCAATACATCGGAAGTCAGCTGTTGTCTGTGAAATTAAGCACAGAACCATGAAATGCTTTTAATTAACTTTTAGGAGGGAAGAAATTTCCTTATACTTCTTTTTTTTGGGGGGTAATTTCCTGATACAAATTGTCCATGAATATAAGCAGAGAATAATTAGATCAAAGTAGATTGTCCTCAAATAATCTGTGTAATCCACTTTATATCTGACATCATTTGTGCGGCGTGAGATATGCAGGCGTAGTGTAGCAACCAAACAATCGCAAGGTCCTCCGGCAGCTCAAACTCTGGAGCCGATGCTTTAATCAGAACTAACATTGGATCCAGCTTAACCCAAGGGTGCAGATCGGAGATGAGGATCACCAAATGCTAAACTCTCAAAGAAGCAGTTGATCCAATATCTGTTTCAGATAATGCCATGAAATTTGTACCGTTAGCCCCATAGGTTACGCTGGTGCCCCCCCACCCAGAAAAAAAAAAAAAAAAACGCCATTCATTATGACAAGACTACAAATCCCATGTCTTGATAAATTGAACTGAAAAGACACTTGAAGACTAAGAACAAGAAAAAGGTGCATAAGACATAACGGAGATGAGGACTGAACTACTAGAAAGGTTAAATATACAACCGCTTCAAAAAAAGCACTCTTTTACTAAAAGTTTCAACTTTGAATAATCTGCTCGGGAAAATAACTCACCTGTACATTTTTCCCATTGCATGCACCACCATTTTGTGCTATTACTGCATTCACAGATATCAAGCTCAAGCTTCAGCTAGCGCTTTCTTCCCCAAGTACAGCTTTACTTTTATCTTCCTTTTGTGCAGCTTTCCTTTTGGCCTGAATTTGATGCACAAACTCTGCCAGTACGACATGGAACTTAGGAGCAGGCTTACTTGATGACAAAACAGTAAGACCTGCTTTCTTCAAGGCTTGGTTGACATGTTTCTGAGCCTTTTGAAAGTGGACTGAACAAAGAGAAGGAACATTGGATCTCAGTATCGGCTTTCCACATGTAATCGGTCCTGCCTGAGCACTACAAGCAAGTAATGAAACAGTTGGTAAAAAATCTCAAGCTGAAATCAGTCTCTGGTAGCTATTGATGTTAATAAATCCCAGGTCTTCATAGTAATTGAAACTGATTCATATAGCCAACAATGTTAACCTTCTACAAAAGAATTCGAATTCAATGGAAAACCAACTCAAAATTTTAAGGCGAAAAAGAATCATCAACCTTTCATAACTATGGACATCTTAGCCATGAATGATGTACTTAACATCATCAATCCAGAAATTTCAGAATTTCAATAACATAATACCAATACTCAGGAATTTGCTTTTACATGATAGAAAAAATAATGTACAACAGAGGAAAATAAATTCTCAGGCTAAACATGTGACATTTCATGTTTACATTATGCCTAGAAAAGAAAACCATTTTTACAGTAACATTCCTAGATGTCTATCTACAATTTTATGGTAGATGCCAGCCTCAAAATCCTAGTATTTTATAAAAAAAGGAATACACTTTGAAAGGAAAAACCAAAAATTGAAGTCATACCTCTTGATGACATATGTGCAGGCCTTGTAAAGCTTCTGCTTTGAGTCAGAGAGAATGTGCAGATGGCAGAAACTCGTCAAGGCCATAGCCTTCAATTTACACCCAACAAAAAGACACTGATAATTGTTCTTCAAATCAAAACTACCACCATCAACATTGTTGTTATTGCCGTTTTCACCACTGCCCTCGACATTAGAATTTGCAGGGTCTCTCTCCACCTCCTGATTCAGGTCTTGCTTGAAAGGGCTTAAGCCGAACTTCCAGTAGTACTCCCTGTATTGAATCTTGAGGTCCTCCATGAGAGCCCAGTAATGGACTCTGTAGCATCTGGAGAGCTGTTTAAGGCGGTGCGATCGGCGCTTGAGTAGTTCCGGGCGAGTGAGGTGAGATGCACGTGAGAGGACGAGGTGTTCGGAGGAGGGGGTGACGGGAAAGGTCATATCGCTTCCAGGGTTGGGGTTAGGGTTCAGGGTAGGATTTGGCGGGTCCGTGTAAGCGGCGGAGTCAGGGCTTTTTGGCAGCCTTGAGGAAGAGGAAAGTAGGAGCTTGGGAGCTGAAGACATGGCCGGAAATCAGGGGAATAAAAGAAGGGAACTTTACACAGCAGCGGCAGTGGGGCAAGCAGATAGCTTTAGAAACAGGCACGGGTCTTGTGGAGAAGAAAGGCAATTATTGTAAACATTGCCTTTAGCTCTCAACTTTAGTTAGATTTCCTGTTTCATCCCTAACCTTTTTTTCTTACCAATTGAATCCCAAATATTTTGAATCGAAGTTCAAGGCTTCAAGCCTTACAATTGAATGATTAAGCAGGTAACATCTCAACAGAAAATAGAAAAAGGTAAAATTTTTCTGTGGATTCATTCAACCAAGTATCAGTTATCACAAAAATGACCTTTCATTCTTGAAGAAGCAAACAACAGGTGATATATGTACAGTGTCAATCTATTACCTTTATTTCAGGCCTTGCAAGTAAAATTAGTATACAAAGGCGAGAAGAATCAAAACTCTATTGAATTTGAATCTTTGCTTTCTTCAACCTGTGCATTAAGGATTCTAGGGATTTTTGTATCCTGTTGCTATCTGTCAGCATTGCTGCCTGGGATGCCTGGTGTAAACTCTGAATCCCACGACCCAAATTGGCAATATAGGAAGCAGCTGGAAGAGACTCAGCAGCAGATTCAATGCCATCACCATATACAAGTAATCCTGCACAAGTTGCAACGCTACACCCAAAAGCAGCCCATGGAAGAAAACCAACTGGCCTTACTTGCCTTTTTCTCATTATTTCATAGAATGCTGTTCTCATAGCTGAAAAGCTGGTCTTTTCAGCAGAGGCTATGGCCCCATGAACCACTGTCCGGATTCTCTCAGCAGAAGTGACTGCATTCAAAACAGATGAATTGCCTCCAGAAATTGAAAGTGCTGGGGCTGCCAATTTTGATGGACCAAGAGTTTTGCTTGCTGCAATTGCAATTACTTTCTGAGTCTGGGTCATAATGAGCTTTACTAAAGCAGGAACCTTAAATGTTACAACCTTTGCAATGGTTGATGCAGGAACAGCTTTAGAGAGTGATGAAACTCCTAAAATTGCTGTTGCCCCTGCCCCAACGGCCACAACAGGTTTCTTAGATAACCCCTTCTTGTCTGAGTGATTTGAGGTTTCTTCATCAACTCTGCAATCTGTAACAATACTGCCAACTAAATCCTTAATCTCCATAGGAACTGGAGTGTTCCAATGTTTCCTGAGACCTGCCAAGCTACTAGCATCCACTACAGCTACCACGTTCTTAAATTTTTTAGCCTGGCTTTGAAGAGCATGAGCAAGGAGTGCATGTGACTTGTCCTCATCTGAAAGCTCTGAAAAATCAACCTTACCAGAGTTTGGGTTTCTCAATTTGTTAATGGGTAACCGACCAGCATAGTTAAGGGCTATCCTCAAGCCCTCAACTGCAATTCTAAAGGTGTAAACTTCAGATATGGTCTCGGTGTCCACAATATCTCCCCTGTTTATATCCAAAAACAACTTCTGTGCAAGTGCTAGAGCCCTTCCAATTGATGGGATATCAGCAAATATGTTATGTAGATCCAGAAGAAGAGGATAGACTGGTTGGGCAAATGATGGGACTTCATAATTGTCTCTCAGCTGAACTTCTTTAGAACCCACCTCTGGAATAGATCCTGACACCCTAAACGTTGACTCAAATAAATGCATATGCAAAGACAATAGTTTCATTGTCTGTGACTGAACATATAGCCTCCTTGAACCAGGGAAAATGGTTGAACCCATCTTTTGAGGAACCAAACTACTAAGTAAACCTTGAACCTTGTTCCCTGCTGGAACTTCCACCAAGGTAGTAGCCACATCAGGAATTTGAAGAAATGACGATTCAAGCACCAAAAAACTTGAACCTACATCTTTTGCTGCCCTCTTTGCAGCCAGAAGATGCCCATAAAAACAGGTGCCAAATATCTCTCTCAAAACCATGTTTCCTGCATCATTCTCGTACTTCTCCTTCTTAATCTTATCAAAAAAACATCTCTTAATCACCCCAAATGGAGAAGTGGGAACTGGATTATTGCCATCATACTGAAATTCAGTCTCTTCAGATTGAATCTCACTAAAAACTGAAAAACCCGTTTGAGCCACAACTGCATCTGGTCGTACTGCCTTAATAAGAACCTCAGCATCTCTAGCAGATCTCTCAGATAAGTTCTGAGCTGAAAGAATGTATATCACAGATTGAGATTCAGGCTGTCTAACAGCATAAACGAACTTCTTTGTGTCTTTAGGCAATGGAAGCTGGCGAACTAACTCATTGGATACTCTCAAGTCATCAAATTTGGACAATGAAAATGGCCAAAGACTTTGCAGCTTATAGACAAATCCAAACCCCATTTCAATCACATCAAGCTTCCTGTTTGGCTACAAAGAAAGCCAAAGAAAGAAAATTGAAACAAAAATTATGCCTCCAATCCCACTCCAATGTAGTTAAAAGAAACACAGAACAATCAATATTGAATTTTGTTCGAATTTCCCATAATCTTCTTACCAGCCAAAGTCCCAACTAAAGATTATAATTTCCCAATTAAAAGGAGAACAGTAAAATTCTTTGATGCCGATTTAGGGTAAAAGACGCTAGTAAAGGGCTGGCGAGTAATGATTTTGACGTACCTCTTTTCCGCCAAGGGAAGAACAAACTACCGTCAAGATTCAAGACATGGCAGTTTACCGAGAAAAGGGAAGGAAAGTATCGCCGGAAAATCGAGACATCATAGACGGAGAACAACCTCTACGGGGAGATTTTGTTTGGGGTATTGGCATTCGTCTAGCGACAACCCCCTTACTCTGGGCCATTGACGGTTCAGATCAGTTTAACAGATGACCCGAGAACCCGATCCGAATATCGTAGGATTTTATTTTAAAAAAATATTATTTTTCAATCCATTCTGTATTTAAAAATATTGGTAGAGATAGGAAAAAAAACTTAAAAGGTGGAGTTATATTATTTAATAATTTTTTTTTATTTTTTTTATAATTATAATAATTTAAGTATTAATTTTTTAATAATTTAATTTATACCATATCATTATCTTAAATTTTCATTCTTTATATTATTATTGAAAATAAAAATATCATTAACAGATAAAAATATTTAACTCATTTTAAACTTTGTTGGATTGTACTAAATTAATTGTTAGATTATACTAAACTAACTTTTAAATATTATGAATTTTTGATATTAAAACTACCTGTTATCTATTTTTTATAATTTGATACAATATATATACATATATATATATATATAGTAAATAAAGACTCTTAATAAATTTTCAAACATTCCAAATTTATTATGGGGGTTTTCAATCCTTTTTTCAATTCTATATAATGTTTGTGAGTGCATGATGACAATAAAATATTTTCTATTTATTTATTTATTTAAAAAAAAAATAGAGAAGAGAGAAGAAGAAGTGAATCAACACCTTTACTGGTACGAGAAAATCGTTGATTAAGTACTGAAGTGAAAACAAACATTTTCTTCGGTTTAGTTTAATAAATTATTATTATTATTTGTTTTACTCTAATATTTTTAAGGTTATACCATAAAGATAATTTTTTATATTATATTTTGATATAATTTTGATATATCATTAAAATAAGTGAATGTATTCAATATCATGGATCTCATATAAATAAATAAAAAGAACACATCATTTAAATGACATATCAGATTGTACAAAAAAGTGATATAAAAAAGTTATCTCAAAATTATTTCTCATATTTTTTATTTTTTTAAAATTATTTATTAATTTTAAAATTATTTTAATTTTTTTTTTGAACATATTTACAAGGGCGGATTTTGAACCCAACTCGAGGATGGAAGAATGCACCAGGGTGGCTATTACCACTAGACCGCAAGAACCAGGTGCAAAATTATTTTAATTTAATATAATTTAACACAACTCTATTAATATTGATAATAAAATTTCATATCTTTGATTACGTGACGTAATATAACTTGTTACGTAATATAAATTATTATGTGAGTAGTGATGTGACTTGAAAAAAAATAGGCAAATTTATTTCAAAGTTTTTCATTATATAAAGTAATTTGTTTCAAAATGTTTTACTATATAAAGTAAATTTTTATATTATGATATAGTCTTAAATAATTACTGAAAATTTTTTCTTTCACTTTTAAGGCAAATGGTAATTTATATAAACCGGTCACACAATTAAAAATATAAAATTTTATTAATTTAATTAATAAAATTGTCTTAGATTAGATAAAATTAAAAGGCATTTAAAAATTAATAAATAATTTTTATTTTTTAAAAATTATAAAATAAAAAGAATTTACTAATTAATAAATCATTTATTATATTAAGCACATTTTCGTTGGGTTCAACTTCAAAATCAAAAACTTACCGAAAAAATGTACTTGCAAGTTGCGACAAATTGGACAGAAAGAAACAGCCACCAAATCCTCCCATCACCCGCGCGTTACCGTCACTCCCACTTACTTTTGATTGTTACACTTCTTATGTGGTACGTAAAAATAAAAGAAACTTCTAATAAAAATTAAAATAACATAATTATTATTCTTTTAAATGTCGCTTTTGTTCAACTCTAATAGGATAGACAAAGTTAATAAATAAATATTATTTTATAAATTAAATTTATGAAAAAATTAAACTTTTATACACCAACCGACATGGAATACTTTCTTAAAAATATCTTTTTTTTGGTAAAAATATATAATAAACGGATTAATTTTATGATGTAAAAAACTTAATTTAAAATAAATTAATAGTGTTCAATAAAAAATTTATTAAATGTAATTAATATGAATAAAATTAGAATAAAGCATTAATAACCTTACAAAAGTAGAAAATGCTCTATGGAGGATGCTTCTCATGGTTACCAATTTTAATAAATATTTTTTTTGTTTCTCATTCTTAAAATTAACTTATAATTACAACTTAGCACTGCAAAACACAATAATAATACATAAGACAGTTACTAAAAATAAAAGCAGGTTTGCTTGAAATAAATCATAAAATACAAATATTATAATTATAGTATTATATAATATTTTATTATATAATAAATTTTTTATTTAAAACTTTATTTATAATATTATATATATTTATTTAAAATTACATAATATTTATTTGTTTATGTTTTTTGAAAGTTAGAGATGAAATTTGAATTTCATGCTCGTCAAATTTAGTATGAATTTTTTTTTTAATTTGATTGTACAATGAGAAACAATTATTATCTCATTCTACCCGCATGCCACATAACTCAAATTTAATACTTTTTACTTTTAATAAAAAGAAATGGTCACTAAATTATTTAAATCGTTAACAATATAAAAAAACTTTTACAAAAAAGATATGACTACTAAATTACAAAACATACTTATATCATCTTTGTTTTCTTTTTTAAACATATTAAAATTATTTACATCCAAATTAAGGGAAGTGAAATGGGATTCCGAAAATTTGAACATATAACACATAAGAGGTTAACAACCTACCCAATAACCATTTACCTATCATCTTTATTTTTATTTTTTTATCAAGGGCAATTTTTGGGAGGAGGGGCATTGAAATCAACCCATGAGATTAAATGATACATATCATTATCAATTGACCTGTAAAGTAAGATGTGCACCTGTCATCTTTATTTAATATTATTAAATTTATAAAATCATATTATACATAAAATTATGTGATATTATAATCATATAACATTGAAAAATCATTAAAAATCACTACGTACATATTTCCACTTTGACTCACGCATCTTTTATTGATTGGTCGTCTCTTCTCTAGTCAGTAAGAAACGTGTCATTTTCCGCTCAGAAAACAGTGTTTTGTATTCCAAGCAAACAATGAGACAAATTTTTTAAGCAGCCTCAGCCTGCATCATGTTCCTCGCATCATCGCTTCGACAATTCGTTTTGGAAGATTCGGAATTCGTTTTTTGATTCCGATCCTTTTTTGTGTTTTCCGAGATTCAAATCTCGGATAGGGAGGCAATTGGATTGGTGTCGGTGGAGCTGTGGATCTGACGACAGAACACGGCATTGCCCCAAGTAAATCTGGAAATGCATCTTTAGGAAGCTAATAAGCAGTAAATCAGGTGAGGAATTTGATTACTGCGATTATTGGATTTCAGCTGCTTTGCTTTGTCACAGCTTGATTAATGTAAGCTTAATTTCGGTTCTTTTAGTTGCAAGATCTGGTATCTGTGTTTTGATTTATGATAGTTCAAGTAATTCGTTTATACATTGATGTGGTTTTCGTAGGAATCGGATTTGGTGATCGTTATTACGGCAAGATCTCGTTTTTGACTTATTACATTAGTATTTTTTTTTTTTATCCGTTTAAAGTTGCTTTTTTGTTCGTTTATAGGAGGAATTCAGCTACATAGTATTGCGGTTTTGATGCTTCTGTACGTTGAATTTCAGTTTCTGGATTCAAGGATTTATTTGAACTAAAACAAGTTGAATTGTTAAATTTATCATGATTTTGGGAGGATATGTGTGTTATGAGTAGATTAATTTAGTTTCTGGTTTTCTTTGAGTTTTGCTTTTTGCTGTTTTAATAGCCGAACTAATTCTACTGTACCTATTTCTGTTTTTGCTTTTCAGATTCAATTTTGTCAAGAGTCTGACAGTTTTGGTTCGAACCGATGAAAAAGGGGACGATAGAATGCAGTGTCTGCCATTCGAAGTTGGTTTCCCCAACGACCAGAAGTGTATCAAGGGCTTATGATCGGCATAAGAGTAGGGTATCATCAAAGCAACGTGCCCTTAACTTCCTCTTGGTTGTTGGGGATTGTATTCTAGTTGGTTTACAGGTAACTCTCATTTGGGTATGTTTTGGTTTTGCTGACCTATTGTCTTTTCTTGATTCTTGACATGTTTCATATTATTTTCCTCTATCAGCCTATTTTGGTGTATATGTCCAAGGTGGATGGCCACTTCATGTTTAGCCCTGTTAGTGTTAACTTTCTAACAGAGTGTGCAAAGGTCGTATTTGCAGTTGTTATGCTCTTGTTCCAGGTACATGTTATATCTGCTCTCATCATTCTCCCTTGTACAGTGTGGATTAAATTTTATGAGGTTCTGACAGGATTTGAAATTAGAGAGAAGATCTTAACTAAGTTTACCTGACATGTTTTAAATCCTTCTTCCTTTATGCCATGTTGTTGCTTCTGTAGTTCTTTTACTTTTGGATTTTAACTGAAGAATTTAATGATGTGCTTGGTATTGTTGGTCCATTTTTCCTGGGTGGATGGGTGGAGAAGAGAGGAGGTAGGGTGATGCTTAGAGTTTACATGTGCATTTGGCTAACTCGGTAAGGTTTTGAAATTCTACAGGCTAGGCATCAGAAAGTTGGTGAAAAGCCCCTTCTCTCGTTGTCCACATTTATGCAGGTACTGGTCTTTTGATGGCAGTATAAATTTTGTCTTTAATTATGGATTGGTTAGAGAAGGTTGTTGCAACTTGCAATAATGAAGAAAATTTTTATTTGATACAACTGATTGCCTAGCTCAGCTTTATGTTAGAAATTTTAATTTCCTATTTCTATTATGTTTGGCAACCAGAGGTTGAGATTCTTAAATGGAAAATAATACACTTGATATCACATAACTCCTAGCAATCCCAATGACACTTCTTTATTGCAGGCAGCCCGCAACAATGCTCTTCTTGCTGTGCCAGCACTTCTGTATGCCATCAATAACTATCTGAAGTTCATCATGCAGGTATAGTTCTTTTTATAACTCACTTAGCGTATATTAATGCTTTGGGATATACTTGTAGTTCTTTGTTGTCTATATGATGGGTAGAATAGCTTTATCTTGTTTCTGGATCTGTCTTCAGTTTGACTTTGATCATGACTTATGGTGAATAATTACTTATTTTAATTGCAGCTATATTTCAATCCTGCAACTGTGAAGATGCTGAGCAATTTGAAGGTATTTTGGCAGTGATGACATTCTATTAATTGTATCTTAATGACAAGATCTGAGATGTATTGGTTGGCTTAATTCTTGGAGTTCTCTTTCTAAAAGTAATGCTGGCAATTCTAGACTTTTAATTTGTTTTGTATTACAATTTGCTTCTCATGGTACCATTTTTTGGGCTAGTTCATTTATCATTAAGGCATTATGTTGTTTAGATCTTGGAGTCAATCCTTCTTTGCTATTCTTTGAATCTAAATGATGTTTGATTTGTATTGCACTTTTGAGTTGCTAGTTAATTTAGGATTTTTCTTTGAACAATCCTGTAATATTTGGTGCTCTTTCAGCTTGTGTAGTGCATGGAATTTGGATACATGTCTTTGGGGATGAATCCAGGATGTACTGTTATTCATGAAGTTGTTTAGTTTTAGTCTTAAATTTGGGTTGCAGAAGAGCTATCTGTAAAATATTGAAGAGAAAATTGATAACCTACCCTTTTTGTTTACTTGAGAAAAAAATAAAAATAAAAAAGAAGCAACAAAAATCTTTTAGGTGTAATTAGTCTTCATATTAAAACCTAGTTTGATGACCTGACATTTTGTTTCATGTTGCAGCTTGTAGAAATGTTGTTTCTCCTGATCGTTTGTGAATAATTTTTCTTCTTTGCAAAATCTTTTTTACTCCATCTAGGATCCTTTACAATTGATTGTAATCTTGCAGGTTTTAGTAATTGCTGTTTTATTGAAGATGATAATGAGGCGCCGTTTTTCTGTAATACAGGTTGGTTCCATTTTTACCTTGAGTTATGCCAATTAAGCTTAAAAGAATTTGATCTAGAAGAACAGAGATTTCAACTCTTATGTTTATAATAGGACCACTGGACAGCTGATTTGTGGTTTTATTGTTGTATTAGTAACATGTTTATTTTACTTATTAATGGTATTGTTGCAGTGGGAAGCTCTTGCTCTGTTGCTGATTGGGATTAGTGTAAATCAGCTACGTTCTTTACCTGAAGGTGCTACTTCATTGGGCCTTCCAATTACAACGATTGCCTATATCTACACATTGGTCTTTGTAAGTGGCTTTGGGTATTTTTTGTACATGTTACTGGTAATCTCTTGCATACAAGACTGGGTTGAAGTGTTGGCCATACAATCAGCACAGAAAGAAAGGGGTTTTTGTCATACAAGTAGTTCTATTCTTAATCTATGTGACTTATTTCTGTGGGCTTCTAGCTTATGATGGAAAAATGTTCTAGGTAACTGTTCCATCTTTGGCCTCCGTCTACAATGAGTATGCTTTGAAGAGCCAATATGACACAAGCATCTACCTTCAGGTGATGTTTATAGTTACCAATTTGATATAGAAATCTGTCCATGTATAATAAGTTTTACCAATCTGCCAATCTAGAAAAGCCATAATCTTTGGTTCAAATTGCTGTAATTGTTTATTTAACATTCTTAAGCATTAGAAATTCATATTATCTTTTAATATTTATAATGGCCATAAGCTTCAAGTTCCCGATACTTAAGATTACAAGAGAGTATGTCAAGTAGTCATCCTCAAAATTTTGTCTGACTTTTGGCTTGCAGAACTTGTTCTTGTATGGATATGGTGCTATATTCAATTTTCTAGCAATTCTGGGAACAGCTATCATTAAAGGTATGAGAATGCTCTAATGTCCTTTTATCTTTATTTTGTTTGCAGAGTGTGATAGTAATAAGGGCATTAATAACAACAAACTGAGATAAAAACACTATAGCCCATTAAAATGGTCACTGTTGATGAAATTTTGAATATTGCATGATGTATCTCTCATGATCTTTTCTAATTCTCCAATGTCAGCTGTTGATTTGTTGCCTCAAAAGCAATGTAAATAGTCACAAATCCAAATCTATCTTCAGTTGCAACTCTGATGTATTTCCTGTTCTCGTTATTGTGAAACTCCCAGGTCCAAGTAGCTTTGACATCCTGCAAGGACATTCCAAAGCTACCATGCTTCTTATTTGTAATAATGCAGCCCAAGGGATTTTATCCTCTTTTTTCTTCAAATATGCAGGTTGGCATTGTTACAACATATTATTTGGTTTGCTTTATTTTTAATTGCACTGTTTTGCATAAATACACTCAAGTTACGTGTTTCAACTGTTGTCTTCTGGACATTGATTGTTGTTATCATTTTATGCATTCAGATACAATTTTGAAGAAGTACTCTTCAACAGTTGCTACAATCTTTACTGGAATAGCATCTGCTCTTTTGTTTGGTCATACTTTGACCATGAACTTCATATTAGGAATTTCCATTGTTTTCATCTCAATGCACCAGGTGACTTACCAGGAAATGTCTTTGTTAATGATTAATTTAGTTTTGAAATATACAAGAAATTATCTTACTGAGATTTTTCCTTTGGTGAACTTTTCTGATGCTTTCGCTTTTCTCTATAGTTCTTTTCACCCCTTTCAAAAGTAAAAGATGAACAACACAATGGGAAGTTGGAAATGGTAGATCTTCTGGACAACCACAGGTAACGCCTTTTCTTTTCTCTTATTTTGATTTTGTTGCATGAATGGTTGCAACTTCTTATATTTCCCTTGCATTTCCTCCCTGATTTAAGCCTTATTATTCCTAGGATATGCTTCAATCAAAC